GGGGCAGCCCTATGTATTTGCTAAACTTGGCAGTCCTATACCTGTGGCTACTCCCGTTGGTGGAAGGAGGCGAGGCAGCAGGGGTGCTCCACGGAGCTGCTTTCTACTCCTTCCTCTCAGAACCTTGCTCCAAGAGGGATTTCTTTTTGTTTTGTTTTCGTGTTTTGAGATAGAGTCTCATGTAGCCAAGGCTAGCCTTGAACTCATAATCCTCTTGCCTTAGCCTCCCGAGATTACAAGTGTGACCACCATGCCCAGTCGGAAAATTAGATTTAGATGTCTTTCCTGATCTTGCGCCAGTCTTTGGTAGGGGAACAAGCCATAGCTCCCATCAGTGCCAAGGGACAGAGAACAGGGGTCAATAGGCAGGCGCCAGGCCATCTACTCTGGCGCCAGCACAGTCCTGGATGATGGCATGACTGTGCTGTCCAGCAGGCTATGGTCATCCCAGACCCCACATTTCCTACATGAATCAAGAGCTCTAGGATGGTATCTTGGCATGCTGTGGGTGCTGCCAGGGCCCGAGTTTCTCCACCCTGAGAGGCCACATCAGCTATACTATCCTGCTAGCTGAAGTCCCTGTAGCCTACTGCCTGAAGTCCCTGCAGCCTACTGCCTGGATAGGAGGACCTATCCTCCCCATGCAGTGAGCCTTGGACAGCAGGAGACTGGGTGGTACACAACGAACTCAGCCAGGGGGATGGCTCAGCCACTAAGGGTGCTTGCCACCACACCTGATGACCTGAGTTTAATCCAAGCACATGATGGAAGGAGAGAACCTACTCCTGCAAGTTGTCTTCCGACCTCCACACACACGCCATAGCATGCACTCTTACACATACACATACACACGTGTGTATGCACAAATAAATGTAATAAAAAGTTTTAATACACCAAAATACAAAACTTATCAGAGACCACTTTACAGCTTTAGTTCAGTGGCAGAAGGTGCATTCACTGTCTCATTCCAGAACTCTGGAAACTACCTACCTAATAAGCAGTCCTGCCCCATCACACCAGCTAAATAATTAAGATAAAAAAAAAAAAAAAATGGGAGAAATAATCCACAAAGGAAAGGAGAAGGACATTTTACAAAGACAAGGGTAATAAAAATCAAGCAGCTGCCGGGTGAAGGGTGATACTGACGTACTTACCAGTCACTAAGTCCAGAAAGAACAGAATTTTCAGACACTAATTAATAAAAAGAATCATGTTAAAGCTTGAACCCCCCAGAAGAATAACAGAAGCCTCATGATAAATGAGGAGAAAGACAAAAATGATGACAGTTACTAATAAGATCTGACATCAGTTAAATGCTTACCACACTGTAAGCTCCATTCAACTCTGCATGACCTGAAGCTAGCCCAAATCTAGGAAGTGCATACATACAGAAGAGTGGTATGGAGAGGTCAGGGAACTTTTAAGTCACACAGCTAATACAAGCAGGGCCAAGAGTCAAGCAATCTGACTACAAAGTTCATGCTTCAACTGCATACAAACCATACTGAAGATGGGCCTATGGTCACTTTAAATTCCAGAGAAACTCCCACTGAAACATTTCTGAAAGCATTAACTGAATTAGCAGCTAGGAACATTTAAAAAAGAAAGGAAAAAAAAAATCCACCCCGTTCATTCAGAAGCACAAAGTGAGAACTAAGAGAGCTCCAGGCGTATTAGAGAAGACTCAAGCTCCAAATTAGTTAAGTGGCTTCCTCTACAACTAAGCGGGAATGAAAAGCTGCGTAAAATTAAGCCAGACAAACCTGAGTAGCTTTGTTTCTCAGCCTTTTGCAGAAAGCCCTCACATCAAATCCTGATAGCTTTTCTGTAGAAGTAGAAAAAAAAAAAAAAAAAAATCAGAGAAACTTGGGCATATTATTTTCAAATCCCCAACAAACTCTTTAAATGTATGAAATTTCTTGCTAAGTTACTATAAAATGAATAAAGAAAATAAAGCAAGCAACAAACCAGGAAGGAACAACAGAAACAAAGAACTTTAACTGTCAAGCTTTGAAAATGGGTAATATTCACACCTCCCCAAATATAATGTGTGACAAGTGAGACTCTGAATTTCCACACAATGCGTGACTATGTCATTCTTTCAGAAGGTCATGCTTGCTTAAAAAGTATGTGCTATATCAAAGCAAATTACCTTCGCTGACCTTCTTGGTTTTCCCCACTGGCTGTCCAAGGTCCACATTATTCTGTAAATTAACCTTCATTTGCTCAGCTGTTTTGGAAATTCTACCCAAAGTATCTTCACTAGTCCTTGGTGACTGTTCTTTGGTTAGAAACAGTTTATTTAGCAACTTAGTTACTCCTTTACTTTTAGCAAAAGCTGTAGGCAGTTTTTCCTTAAAGACTTCAAGATAAGGTGGTCCTAGAAAGCCAATAATATCAGAAGGAAAGGGGAAATCTTTGAAGTAAGGCATGGGTTGAATCCTAGACACCTCTTGAAGCAATCCAAACAATGGCTCATACAAAGAAATCAACCTTCTTAAAACTTCTTTATAGAGAACCCTAGAAAGAAAAAGAAGCTCAAGAATTAGCTTTCATTGAATTTTCCTAATTTGCAGACACGTAATAAACTGAAAATAAACAGTTATCAAGCTCTGCTGCTACAGATTTTTCTTTTTTTTTTTTTTTAAGCAAAGAGCTATGGTGTATATTTGCAAACTGCCAGACCCAAAACACAAAATCCAAGTACAAAATGTTGCTCAAAAACAAAGAACTTGCTGGGTGTGGTGGCGTATACCTTTGATCCCAGCACTTGGGAGGCAGAGGCAGGTGGATCTCTGTGAGTTTGAGGCCAGCCTGGTCTACATAGTGAGTTCTTGCTACATAGCTGAAAGCCTGTCTCAAAATCAAAACAAAAAGAAAAACCATGAAGTTCTGGGAGACATGCATCAAGGATGTGCACATAAAAATCCTATGGATGGTTTTATATACATGAGGAGATTCTATATATACTTCAATTTCTAACAGTTTCTTATGTGTTCTTTAAGCCTAAATCATTGCTGTAATCAGCAAAATGTGTATCACTTCTCATATGAGGAAAGAATAGCAAAAGTTAAACTTTTTAAAATAGTATGATTACCAAGCCCAGCTTGGTAGTAGACACCTACAACGCTAAGCACTTATGAGGCTGAGGTCAGAGGATCATGAATTGAGTCAGCCTGGGCTACGTAGTAACATCCTGTCTGGGGAAAAAAATTTTTTTAAATAAAGTAATTCAATTAAATTTAGTAATTCAAATGCTATTATTTCTGATTAAGAATAAGCAGAGCTGGGTGAGGTGGCACAATCCTTTAATCCCAGCATGGAAGAGGCAGAGGCAGGCGGATCTGTGAGATCAAGGCCAGCCTGGTCTACATAGGGAGTCTAGGGCTGCAGAGAGACCCTGCCTCAAAAAAATAGAATAAAATAAAATTAAATAAGAAAGAAAAGAAGATGATTCAATTCAAGTATTACATGAGATAATCTCTGGGTTAGACATCAAAGCAATCAAAAGGTAGAAGGAATTTTCTGGGCTTGTTTTTGTCATTTTCTTTTGTCAGTTTTGCTACATTCAAATCAGAACTAATGACCCACCTGTGTCTAGTTATCCATAAAATCATATAATCATATATATACACATACAAGACATTATCTTTTTAGTTGCAGATATTACTAGTGTTATTTGCATTGACCAAGAAAGCCTCAAAAGCAGCTGTGTATCAGGCAGAAAAGTCTGACACACAATAAAAGGGAACTTATATTTGTAATTGCTATTGAAATTAGAAACCAAGTATCAGAAAGAATCAAGGCATGGCCCAGGAACAGCATCACTTTAAACAGTCCACTGCAGTATAACTACTGCCTCACCAGCGTTGGGTGATCTTGTGGCTTAACACATGATCCTTTGACATAACCATCAGCACTTAGCTTACCAATTACAAATAAACTGACTCCTGCCGGGCGTGGTGGCGCATGCCTGTAGTCCCAGCACTTGGGAGGCAGAGGCAGGCGGATCTCTGTGAGTTCAAGGCCAGCCTGGTCTACATAGTGAGTTCCAGGACAGCTGGGGCTACAGGGAGACCCTGCTTCAAACAAACAAACAAACAAACCAGCTGCAATGAGAAAAAAAAAATGAAAAAAATGAAAAAAAACAAATAAACTGACTCCTGCCCCTTTGGATTCCATGTGAAACATGACATGAAACTGGGAAAGCTAGTAAGAAACCTGGGTGAGAAAGACGAAAAACAAGTGAAGGATGTCCAAGTGTGAACACACCATAGTCTGCTCACCAGTCCAACCATCACAAGGTTTAAAATGATGAACTCTTGCAATCCTAAGTGTTTCACAGTCAAGCTGAAGAATCAGGTTAAGGTGGAAAAATAAAACCAAAGGAATTTGAGCTTTGTAAGTTAGAATTATGAAAGAAGAAACTAAGTGAAAGAATACCCTTGAAAATCTTAAAAGCCTTAAACTTGTCACTGCAGTAACATTAACTAAAAATATAGCAATCTATATTCCACTAGAGCTCCAATTATTAAACTTCGCTTCTGGAAGCAAGACTTCCTAACAGCCAAAGCGCTGAGAATACTACATGCTGGGCAGAGACAGGGAGTCCCTGGCACAGCCATATCCAGCAGCTACTGGGAGAGGAGGCAAGTAGCAAAGCTTTAGGAATTCCCACTGGTGACAACACCTGCGAGCCCTGGCTTTCAAGCAGAAATACTGTTAAATATACCAAAACAACTTCCATTCAAGAGAAGGTATTCCAGTTGAGAAGGATACAGAAATGTCTTGCAGCAACAGTCCAGCAAGCGGAGTAACAACTTGCAGGCTCCCAAAACCTTCATCAGCACCAACTCCACCACTGGCTGGCTGGGGATGACACAGGTTTTGGTGGTTTCAGGATGAGTTTCACTTGACAAAATAGAAAAGAACGAACATTACTTTCATTTTTAAACACAGCATTTCTATAGCCTTGCTTTAAGCCCAATTTGAGGTAGTTGTGCTTACTAGCAACCTACTGTGAGCCAATGTCCCAGCAGACCCTCCCATAGGCCAGACTGAGATTTATCACCCTGAACAGGCATCCCTTATTACAACAAAATTTGTACATCTTTGGTATTATTGGTTATATGCCAACCCAAAGGGAGCTCACAACTAGACATCAAGTTCCCAGCCCATGCCACAAAGCAAAGGACCACCTACTTGGAAGAAAACAACTCTGATAGGTCTTCAATTGAGCCTTCCAAATTCATGTTTTTCAAACGTTTTAAACATTGTTCTACCTAAAGGAGGAAGAGCAGCTTGAATCAGCATGTGTGCAATACAGACAGTGTCACAGATATGACCAAGAAGACAGACACCAAACTTTCAAAGTATGGAAACAGGCTGTGAAATACCTTTTATTTTAAGGGCCAGAAGTTCAAATCTCAAAACAATTACTTCTGGTTACAAACATAGGATTTATCCAGCCCAACAAATTTCTCAAATTAAAAAAAATTACTATATTCCAGATGAGCTCAGTACTATAGAAGGGTCCAAAATGAGTACAAGTCATGAGTACAAGATTATAATTTTGCTGAGGGAACATGATTTTACAACAGTGAACCTAATAGAACATGATAGTAAGCTATTAACTACTATGTTTCAACAGTCTGTGAGTACCAGAAATGAAAAAAGTAACTTCATCACAGAACAAATCTATGCTGAGTATGTACTACATGCAAGGCATGCTGGGAGATAACGGTACATGATGCATCCCAATTTCTACTAATAAAAGTAGATAACATACAAAGTACCTAACTAAGTGCTAAAAGAGATGAGTTTTATTTAAAAACTACAATCTCAGAGCTGAAGAGATGGCTCAGTGGTTGAGAGCACTGACTACTCTTGCAAAGGACCCAGGTTCGATTCCCAGCATCCACATGGCGGCTATGAACCATCCTTAACTCCAGTTCCAGGGGAATCCAAAGCCCTCTTCTGACCTCTGCGGCACTGCATGACACGGGTGCACTCACATGCATGCAGGCAATACACTCATACACATAAAAAAATAATAATATTTTTTTTAATTTAAAAAAATAAAAAAACCTACAATCTCTATTTCTTTGTTTTTCTCTGAAGTACTTGTCAGCAACTGGCACAGCAGTAGCTAACCTGCTAATTGCCTTTCTTCACAAACTACACTGTAACTTCCCTGTGGACAATAATATTTTATCCATTTTGTTCACCACTATAATCCAGTTTCTCTAACAGGGCTGAGTAGATAGTCAATATTATTTATTTAAAAACAAAGAAAAAAAGGCCAGCGCCAACCAGTGTACAAAATGCTGTAAGAATTCTGCTCCATCAGGAAATACCCAGAGAGGGCCACTAGTTATGGATGCTACCTTAACATCACAGTTCAATCCTTAAATTCCCTAGGGCCAGCTCCTATCTTTTTCAATTTTTAAGTCTGAATACCATCTTTACAATAGGTATTGACAATGCAAGATTGAACGCACTTGTAAATACAATGAGTGAAACATGGTTTAAAAGGCAGGAGAGAAGGAAAGGAAAACCATTTGTGAATTTCAGCAAGGGAGATAGTTAAGAAGTTGTTTTTATACTAGAAGACAAGTAAAAACTACGCTGGAGAAGAAAATCTGGGGGAAGACCCTAATCCTAGATCTTCATGGAAGAGGGATCTTCATCCCTTGGGCCTTAAAGTTCTGGGAATTACCAGAAAGCCTGAGTCTCTACAGTTAGACCATGTCTGTCTTTTTCATTCCTGTATTCCCAGCATCAAGCACAGTACGAGGCACAGAAAACTCTGTGAAAAATAAATACTTCCAAGGTGGCTCTGTCACATAGTGGGCTTCAAACTGACCTTCTAAGAAGTACTTGCAGATTTAAGGTGAATGGCACATAAGGACCCCAGCTCAAGAGGCTCTCTGCCATGTTATAGTCCTAGAGCTCAAAGTCACAATTTTCTTCTTAATCCCCCAAAATTCTATGAAAGCATTTTATACCACAACTTACTATAAACTCCAACAGACTGCTGATCAGATGACCCCTCAAAAAGTAAACCACAATAATAAATTAAAACATTCCTTTTTATGATTTTAGGATTTAAATTACTTTATCTCTGAACCAGGCAAAGGCACAGTTACATTGGCTGCACATAGTGAAAATTCTTACTGCCCCACTAGAAATACCTGGGAAAGAGTATAAACATACTTCTTGAATATAAGTTACTTTTCTAAATGATTTCAAGAAAATAAAAGAGAAAAAAAGCCCACATGTAACTGTGTCTTATAGATTTCTAAATCAATAATTCAAACTTCCCATAAATAACAAAATAGTAAGTGGCAGTGTGCTCCTCATCTTCATCAGTAACAGGCTAGGAATGGACCCAAAGTTTTCTCCTCACCTGTTTCAGGGCCAAATGGGGCTTGTGGCGCCCCATTCTATTGTGATTGCTGTAGAGAACTGCACACAGCACATCTACTTCTGCATCTAAGATCTGGCTTTTCAGTGACTTTGTGACAAGATGGCACTCTTTCATTACAGCTGCAATGAGAAAGTCTAAAGCAGAGACATCTAAAATAAGACAGTATACATTTCTACAGGGAGCACATTATACAAACAGCGAAACATATGCCTTAATTGCTTTAATAAAATAAAAAAACATATTAGCCTCAATTCTATAAACCAAATAAAGATTCTAAGTATATAAGAAGTTGCAGTGTCAGGTAATACGAGGTCATCTGCTAAACGTGAACATGTGTGTGTGGGGGGGGTGTTGCTTGTATTTTGGGGAACAGAGTCTCCCTATGGCCCGAGCTGGCCTCAATCTTAATAGATCCGCCTGCCTCTGCCAACAGAGTGCTGGAATTAAAGGCGTGGGTGACCTCACCCAGCTATGTATATGTATCTTTACATCACCTTTTTCTCATGATTTAAGCAGTCTTTCCTAATGACTAGAGTCATCATTTGGTACACACTTACCCACCCTCCATATTCCAAAGCTGGGCATATGCTGTATATGTTTCTAAATCCCTCATTTTACTATGTAGGTAAGCAAGACAAAAGGGATAAATTCATGACTTCCAAAAGAACTGTATTTGGATGCTACTTTTGGATAAGAATATATAATACACTCAGCTCTCTATCCCTGAATTCCACATTCACGGATTCAACTCAAATTGAAAATATTACCAAAAAAATCCATCTGTGATATATTTCAATGGCAGTTACATTGTACAAGGTATCGCAAGCAACCTAGAGATGGTTTTAAAGTATAAAGATGTGTTTAGGTTATAATGAACAGGTAGATAATTATATGCCATGTTATATAGGAGGCTTGGGCATTTGAACATTTTTTTATATAAAGGGGGGTCCTGGACCCAATCCCTCATGGATACCAATGGACAACTACACTTAAGAAAGAGAAACGGCTGGGCGTGGTGGCGCACACCTTTAATCCCAGCACTTGGGAGGCAGAGGCAGGTGGATCTTTGAGTTCTAGGCCTGGTCTACATAAGTGAGTTCCAGGACAGCTGGAGCTATAAGAAGATCCTGTCTCAAAAAAACGAAAAAAAAAAAAAAAAAAAGGAGGAACAACGGTGACCACTGGGAGTTGTATTGTTGTATTATTTAAGATGTTTTCTAATTGAAAAACTTTGAAGTAGATGATGTAATGTGCTGCCTATGGCTCTAAATGTAACACCAACATTCAAAGTGTAAGAATTTTCTTATTATCCCAACTATCTGAAGACAAAATTCAAATTCCTGCCTTGGGTGATGAGGGGGCATAAATTTCCCATTCCACTAAGAACTGTTTAAATTTCTTAAGAGAAAGGAAAAAGGAAGATCTGTGAAGTGCATAGGAAGGATAGACAGGAAGAGGAATGTGATGAGTCGATGGCTGTATTTAACAAATACTAAATGAATTTAATATTAATGACAACTACTAATATTTGACTGTCATACCAAGACATATGACAAATGCTTTATATTAACCCTTTCATTCCCCAATACAGTCCTAAGAAGCTGTACTATTTTACTTCTTTGAAAGTAAGCTAAAATCTCAGTTTTTAAAATAACAAAATGCCTTGGCTGGCTGTGATGGGGCCTTAAGCAGTCTTTAAAAAACATGTTAAATATCAGGTAACCAAGAACTACAGTTCTATCTTGGTAGCCATGTCCCCTGATGGTCAGACTATCCCTTGTGGTTAAATCTCCTCAAGGCTGTAATAAGTTATTTTCACTGTATTAAAAAATACATCTTCAGGGCATTTCCCCACACATGTGCACGTATTGCAGAAAGGTCTTCATCCTCAAAAGACCTCCACTTCATTATAATCTTTTTTTCAATGTTTTATTACATTTATTGGGGGGATGGGCACAGCATGCGTGGGGGAGGCCAAAGAACATATGGGTAGAGAGTTGGTTCTTTTTCCACCACATGGACCCTGGTCTCAGGTCCTCAGGGTTTGGGGGCAGGTACCCTTATCCGCTGAGCCTTCTGATTGGGCCCTACATTATGGTTTTGATCCCGCCTACCCAATACGCTTTTCTAGAGGACCAAGGGAAGAAATATCCTGAGAGATAAGTCCATGATTTGGAAGTTTAGTCACCTGATTCATGAATATGCCACCCACATCATATTCACAAAAACATTTAACACAAACACAAACGCTAGAGAGTTGCTATCCCCATTCCTTTGGAGCTTCCCACTCCAATCTCTTTGGAGTGCCTGTTTTACTAAAACTGTCTCTGGACTGATTTTTCTTTTTTTCCTGAAGAACCGAGAGACCCAAGTTACGTCCTACATTTGTAAATCACCAGCTCACAGAGTTCTCGGTTCTAGATCACATCAAGCGCTCCCTCGCCCGGTAAAGGAACAAGCTCCATTTTACAGAGTTCCAAATGGTGATAGTCCGAGTCCTGGGGGCAGAATTAGCTGAGGGGTGGTCCTCAGAGCCAGCACAGGACCCCAGGAACCGTTTTAGGGACACTAGCAGCGACTGCCAGGCCGGAGCTGGACCTTGCTTCCATCCTCCTGCCAGGTCCCGCACGTGTACAGTGGCTTCGCAAACCCTGAGCCCTGGGTCCCGAAAGTCCGAACGGTCACACTGCCCAGCCGAGACCTTCCTCCCGGTGCGACCCCCTCCCCTTCCCGGCGTCCTCCGGGCTCAGGAAGTCCCGCCCTGCCCCACGTGCGGCGCCCGGTACGGAGGCTCCTGGAGAGATGCTGGGCCTCCTCGCCCGCCTCACTCACTCAGGGCGGCGTCGGGGTCCCGCACTGTCAGCGTGCTGCGGCACCCCGCCTGGGGGATCCTCACGCGGTTCCACGGCTCGTCGCCCCGCCGCACCGGCGTGGCCATCTTGCAGGAAGGGAGAGGGCCTGGGAAGCTGCTCCGGGAGAGACCACGAGAGCAGGGCGGGGAAGGGGCGGGGTTCCGGGGCGGGGCAATGCCGTGTTTGAACTGGGTACCTGTGTTTTTAAGGTCCTTCAGAGTTTTCTGAGCCACTTACAAGTTTGAAACTTTGAGGCCAGATATTTTACGGATAAGGAGTACTAGTGAGGTCCAACTCTCAACTCTGCTTCAGATACGATGAGCAAAGAAAATTGAGATAGGATTATGATAGGTGTGGAGTTTCTAAGGGAGGAAGGATTTATTTTGAATAGTCAAGGAAGACCCCATACCTTGATCATAACAGAAATCCAAAGGTTTTCTGACGACGCGTTACCACCATCAGTAGCTCAGAAAAACTATTCCAAACTCTGCTGAGTCTTAGCACGTTGATAGTTGTTTATTCCTAGTCATTGATGCCCTCTTGATTATGTAAAGATTCCCACCACAATATGGAGAGGAGCAGTTGGTGGGCTTTAGAGACTGCCAAGTTTCTTGATGCCAGCTCTTTGGATTGCTATAGTCTAGCTCTCTCATCTCAGGACGGTTAATTCCTCCATACCTCAATATCCTAGTGGTTAAAGATGTTAATAGTAATATCTTTTTTATTTTTGTCGTATGCGCATGAGTGTTTTGCCTGCATGGATGTAAGTGCACCACATATATGCAATTCTGGCAGAGGCCAGAAGAGGGCATTGGATCGACTGGAACTGGAGTTAGAGTGGGTTGTTAGCCACCATGTGAATTCTGGGAACCCAATTGGGGTCCTCTGGAAGAGTAGCCAGTGCTTTTAACCACTGAGCCAGCTCTCCAGCCCTGGTAGTATCTTCTTCATAGGGATACAGTGCATTAGAATTGAACCTTTTGTCAGGTGTGGTGGTGCAGGCCTTTAATCCCAGCACTCAGGAGGCAGATCTGAGACTCCAGGCCAGCCCAGTCTACTTAGCTAGTTCCAGGCCAGCTACTGTCTCAAAAAGACCAAAAAAAAAAAAAAAAAAAAAAAAAACCTCATAAAAATAATCACTTTCTCTATATTTATTTAATGCAAGTAATCTTGCCTTATGGAAACACTTTCCATGTTCTGTGTGTACCTTTGTAGATACTGCTTCTGTTGTCTGGACCATCTTCCTGAAACAATCTCCCTTCCTAAGTCAGCTCTGGGTCCATTATCTTTAATAATTCTTCCTAAATACTCTATAACTTTATGTAGAGACCCCTTTAATGTACTACCATTGTGCCCTTTGATGGCCTGTATATTAGTTTCCTATTTTGGCCTTAACAAATTACTACAAACAGTAGATTAAACACAAAGTTACTGTAGTTAATGGAAGACAGAAACAAAAATATTTTATGTGTGCAAGTGGTGTATGCATGTGTGCACATGCACTGGTGGAGGCCAGAAGTCAACATTGGGTGTCTTCCTCTTACCACCATTCACCTTTATTTTGAGTCAGCTTTTCTCATTGAACATGGAACTCACCATTTAGCTAGACTGGCTGATCAGCGAGTCCTCAGGATCCTCCTGCCTCCATCCCCACCAGTACTGGAGTTATAGGCATGTACCACTGTACCCAGCTTTTACACGGGTGCTGAGGATTTGAACTCAGGTCATCATATTTGACCTGCTGAGACATTTCCCCAGCTGCAAAATCAATGTTACTGAAGTTGGAAGTCTAAAGGGCTGTTTCTTCTGAAGACTCTAAAGAAGGATTTGTTTCCTTGCTTTTCTCAGCATTTAGAAGTTGCCTTCATTCCTTGGCACATGACCTCAGCCTCTATGTTCAAAGTCATTCCCATTGCATCTTCCAGTCTCCTCCCGTTTTTCTCAGGTGACAAGGCAGCATGGAGGCAAGTGATGAAGTAAAAGAGTTAACTTGAAAATCAAAAGGCCTTATTACGACCCAGAAAGAAAAATAAATATAGGTATAAATATGGACATATTTGGAGTGTAGTGATAGAAAGAGATGAGATGGCGCAAGAATGAGAGCTCTACATTCTAGGTGAAGGAAGATCTGAGCTTCTTACCAAGAGTGGAGAACAAGGAGATGGTGTTCTGTGAACAATGTACAATGGGATTTCACAACCTGCATGCATTTGCCAGGTCATTGCTATACCCCTGTGGGCCACTAGAGAGAGGATGAAGGCAGGAGGGGAGAAGGTAACCTCTGCTCCTTTATTCTTGATAGTGTTGCCCTGCAGTGCTCTTCAACCCCAGGTAGTGGCATTTGGTCCTGATTCTTTTTTAATAGACCCCTGAAAGTACCCTCAGAGGTACCAGCAGTGCCTTCTCAGGGATCTGCATCCCAATTCTGCAGGTGTATTCTTCTAAAAGTCTACCTTTTGATAACCCAAGTTTTTGGTCTTGTTTCCCCAGCTCCAGGAATCCTAACAGCCTTTGCTGTACTTCTGCATTTCAGCTCTTAAACCTTCACTTAACCAATTTCCCATAATCCTTTAAATGCTCGAAGGTAAAATGTGTGACATTCTGTTTTACTCAAGGGCTCCAACAGATATTTGAAACTCTTAAGTGGTCCCAGGAAACAGCCTCCCAACATGGGATTCAGTAGTTGATTTGATTGTGTCCTTAGTTTTGAGCATATTAACAATCTCTTCCTCATTAAGGGGCCATGGGGTATGAGAAATCCATGCTATGCTGCATCGCCATGCTTAGTCACATGAGGCTGACTGTGATGAAGAACCTTCTGAAGCCCACTGGGGCCCAGGAAACTATTACAGTAGCATTGATGCTTCTGAGCGTCCTGGAGAGCCTAAGGAAATGGAAAGAGCTCTGACTTGGGTCTCTATCAGCTCAAGTCAGAGTCAGAGTTTCTGTGGTAACTGTAAAAGCTTTACTTTTTTATTAGAATTAGACCTAGACTCAAAACTCAATTTTGTGGATTGTAGAATTACAACTTAATTTGAATATATGTATTCATACGTCTCACATAAACGTGATTAGGAACAAGAAAGATTTTGAGCCTTGGTGTAGGGACCATGTAGTTGGACTTGGGAAAAGCTGAGATTCTGGGATAGCCTATATTTGAGGAGACAAAAGTAAAGACCCTATAATAATCTCAAGGCCCACCCCACCACTTCTTATCACTTCTAGAACTATGCCTAAACTCAACTCTTGGTTTGTTCCAAGGGAACAAGTACAAAGTTCAGCAGAGAAGAAACAGTTTATATTCTAAAATAATTGCAAAATGTTGCTCATTTTTAGTAACAGACACTCAAGTAACATTGAGACAAAGTTGTTAGACTACAGATGATAGAATATAAAAGAGTGAACTACTCAAAATGGACTGCTATAGGGAGAATCTTGAAGTTACACGCATGTCTAGCAATGGTCTCTGTGACTGAAATGAGCCCAGCTGTAGCCTATCTTCAATGAAGCTAACACCAGAATTACCCTAGAGTAATGCAGAGAGCACAATCCAGAGACTTGTGGAAACTGCATGTGTGAACTGTAGTCTCAGCCTCAACTGTGGATCCTCTGAGAGAGTCAGAAGTCACTCCCTCTGCACAGGCACTAGTAAATACACTGAGAGGCTAGTGGTGTCCTCCACAATGTCTCCAGTGACATCTCTCTTCTGTAGGTTAACTGGAGTGATACTGCCTTTGAAACGAGCTCCCTGGTTTCCATGGGAATGATAGGGTCTCACAACAACAAAGGCCAGTTGGCAATGATTGCCTATAAGAAACAAGGTTGGTTCCTTTACTTTAGTGGGTGATAGGAACAAACGATAACCAAATTGTTTTGACTAGTGGCACTTAATAGATCAAGGTGTGTGTAGGAACTAAATAGATCACAGCCTATTAAAACATTATTTTGTCTGTTACAGAGGCCAGAAAATTGGTTTGGTACCAAAGTAGAAAGTTGTAACATCTTACTCAATTTCCAGGCTTAAGTTCAACAAGATAGAGCCTTTGATGAACAATGAGCACAGGTCAGTGGTGTTCATCATTGTCATTTACAGGGTCAAAATTTGAAAATGTGTAAACATTGTTTGTGGCTAGTACATGCTACTCCCAATATGCCTCTTGGTAGTTTAGAAAAAACATAAACAAGAAATTAAAGTCCCGAGAATGGAAAATGAGACAACTGGTTGACCTCTGCATATACCACCTACAACCTTTCCACACAGGCACTCTCCATAGGATAACTTGGACTTTTTCCCATGGAAGCTGGAATTCACTTTGGCAAAAGCCAATGTTTCAAGTTCTCTTGGGGTTTAGAAATCTTTGGATGGAATTTCCATTATATTCTCCTAGTCAAAACAAGTCATATGGGCAATATCAAAAATGAGGAAATAGATTCCATCTTGTTGAAGAAAGCAGCAAAGATACATTGCTAAGAAGCATGTGTACAGGTAGTGTGACTCATTCCTTGGAGACCATTTTTTATCATCTACTATAGTATGATGGGAGCTATTTTGTTATAGGCATGACTAACATGTGGTGGTCCATGTTCTCTCATTCCTGGGTACACAGCTCTGCTACCTTCAACCCAGATGCCAACCCTGAATACTTTACCCATCAAAAATATCTATTCTAGTTGGGGGGGAATATTCTATGGCATAAATAAGCTGAAATAATACATGTCTATAAAACCAGCCCTTCAAAGACTACTTGAAGCAATACAAAGAACAGAGAAAAGAACAACTATACCCCAGGGGAAACAGAAAGAAGCTAAATGAAGGTATAATTGTGGAAACACAAAATTAGACAAAGAATGCAAACAGCAATCAAAATGGTGGCAACAAATACACATCTTTCAATAATAACTTTAAATATCAATGTACTGAAGTCCCCAGTCAAAA